TATATATATCTTTGAAGGGATATAGAGAATTATGATAATTATCCATGTGTTTCCTTTATTTTCCCCAAGGCAAGGGAGTTACATGCGATGCCATTAATTGTAATTTATTCAGTCTGCTTTTCAGACCCATTATGTAAAGGCAGACAACTTAGAAAATACTTCATTAGAAAAGCCTTCCAACAAGCAAAATAAAAAGGCTTCCTCATTAAAATGTCATCCTGTGAAAAAATTTATTAAAATAACATCAGAAAAGAGTCATAGAGAAAACAAGTTAATTTTATTTGATGGTTTATTTTGATGAGTTACCTTTACTAAATGATGTTAGTCACACTGAGTACCTTGTTAAATACCTATTGCAGAATCCTTGTAGTAGTGCAAATGGTAGAGGTATCCAAATGGGAAATGGGTGCTGTTCCACCAAGTGTGGGAGACACGTCTGGGATGCAGCTTCCTAGAAAGCCTGAACTAGATTTCCTGTTTATGTATTACGTGAGACGTAAAAGAACTTGAGAGGTACTTGGCTTATTCCTATGTGAAGCAGCTTGACTGCTTAACTGTCTGAAGTAGACAACACTGGCAAGTGCAGGGTCCTGAGTTCAATCCCCAGTACTGCAAAAGAAAAAAAAAAAAAAAAAAAAAAAGATAACTACTGTGTATTACAATTAAATTTAAATATATAAAATTAACCTACAAAAGGTGTTTTCATGCCACTGTAATTTACTTATTCAAGTTTCTCTTGGGAAAGATTAATCTAACTGTACAGTAAAACTTGAGAGTTTGTTAATAAGCTTTGTCCCTTAGTGCCTTCCTAAATTTGTGGTATTTAAGGGATTAGCTAAAATGTTGTGTACTCTATTCAGTAGCAGAATGTTTAGGAAGCATAACATAAATAAGATTTTAGGGAGATAATTACTTAAAAATAAATGTTTACTGCAGCGTGTGATGACATACGTCTGTAACCCAGAACAGGAGAGGCTGAGGTGGGAGGATTTTTGTGAGTTTCAGGCCAGTTTGGGCTACATACTGTCTTAAAAATGATAAATTTATATTTTCCTTTAAACTTTCTGTAATTCATAGTGTTTATGAATTCTGTCCTTCCTCTGTCATAATTTGTCCAAATTTTATTTCCAGGATCAAAAGAAATGTAGAATTAAGATAGTAAAGTGTTTTGGACAAAATTCTAAATTTTAGGCCAACACTGTGAAACAAACACA